TTTTATAGGGGTCATTTAGTCTTACTGAAATAAACCCGTCAATAACCGTCGACATCGACTCAAAAGCTTCCGCGACACTCGACACTCAAAGCTTTTAAAATGTTGTTACAGGTAACTAAGGGTTCTAGTTTAGATTTCGTGTTCGAGACCCCACACTGTGAGGTCAGGCTGTCTCTGCTGCCTCTGCTGTGTAATCAGTGCCATTACTCACACCTGTGTCTCTGTCATTATTCTCACTGGTGTCACCTGGTGCCCTGGCTATAATTATACACACACACCTCTCTGCCTCACTCAGCCTGGTTGGGTCATTGTTATTGTGGTGTTTTTGTGGTCCTGTCGCCAGTTTCCGATTCGTGCCTGCCTTGCTAGCGTCTGTTTAAGTCGGAATAAACTTTCATCACCTGATCAACGTCTACCTTCCCCGATACGTAACGCATATTCATTTAAAGAGTAGTATACGAATCTCCACAAGGGGGAACTAGCGAGTGCGACATCCAGTTCTTACCGAATGAGATCCAGCAGAGCGTCAGCGGAGCTGGTCATGGGCTTCTTGCTCTCATCAGAGTCCTCCTTCTGAGCAGCTCCCCCGGGGTGGATGATGTAGACCATCACGATGCCCACTACCACGGCCACGAAGGTGGTCCAGAGGTAGTAGGAGATGGTCATGATGCCCAGTCGGCTGGAACACTTGGCGTCCAGGGCGGCGAGACCTGACATTAGACTAAAAGAAAAAAATGCAAAAAGAAAAGCATTGGTATTCTCTATGTAAACAGTGGCGGGAAGTTCACGATCAACCCCTGAAAGATCTGCAAAAACCGATGAGGAAGAAAAAAAAACAAAACCCAAACATATATAAGTCGCTCCGAATTATAAATCGCACCAGCCAGCTTAAGGAGTGCCCTCTAGTGGCTGTCAGTGTGAAAATAACAAACATGTGAAATTATATATTTTAATACATAAATCGCACATCAGTATAAGTTCGCAAACCCAGACTAAGGAGGAAAAAAAAAGCGACTTATAATCCGGAAAATACGTTCTTTTTTTTTCATTTTGAGTCCTAAATTACTGCACCCAAAACATTATCTGAACATAATCTCTTTTTTTCATTTTGAGTCCTAAACTACTGCACCCAAAACATTATCTGAACATAAAGTGTTTATTTTTTTATTTTTTATTTTTTAGATTTTCAAATTCATTAAGCGGGCCGAATTGACACCCCAAGCGGGCCAATTTTGGTCCGCGGGTCGTATGTTTGACATCCCTGTTCTGGGGTTTACTGTCTTAGAACATTCCTCGAGGCTGTACTTTGAATTCTGTGAACACCTGAGAGAACGTCAGTTACATCATGAATGTGTTGTGAAAGTACAGTTCTCACCTCGCCTCAGTCTCTCTAGACGTGGGCGAGCCACAGGTCAAAGGAATCTGAAGAGCCAGTTTCATAAGGCGGGTCAGACATGCAGGCTTTGAGATTGTAATCTCCTCACCCTAATAGGCTGGAGCAGTGGTTCTTAACCTCGTTGGAGGTACTGAACCATCAACTCCCTTGCGTGCATTCCCCAAACCCTTCATAGTTGGAATTCTTTTTTTTTTTTTAAATTCCAAACATAGGCATATATTTTCAGCAGCTTTTCCCACCATGATATTCACATCTGCAGTGCAGCTGATTTTGTTTCGCAAGTATCGGGGTATGCTATGCCGTTGCGATCGGTTTACCTCGAATTCCGCGAACGTCGTGTTCTTGTAGTTTTGCTGGTGATAGACTAGAATTACTTATCTTGAGTCGGGTATTCCAAATCATACGATTCTTTCAATTTTTTTTATATTATAATATTCTATATTTCAACCCTCGAAAAGCGTCATTCCGTCGCAGCGCCCGTCTGGGTTTTTTTTTTCTTTCTCTCTCCGTATTTTTAGTGTCAACACAGAACCACTTATTTCCTGATGCTTTTCTACTCTGAGTTGCCGCGGGGTTCTGTCGCTAACACCTGCAGGAAGTCCGAGGGAGTCTGAGTTGCCGCTGTTTCCTGAAACTTTTTACAGACTGCTCAGCTCCACCGATGGGTTGTGACGTGAAACTTTAGTCGAGCGATGAAAGCGTCACGTGATGGGGTTGATGTAAATCGGTGGCGTCAAAGTTTATGAGATATTTAATTATTGTTCTTGTTATTTATAATCTTACAAAGAAATATCCTTAATTTTTTTTTATTTTCAAATTTCAAGTGGGCCGCATTGAACACACCTGCGGGCCGGATTTGGCCCACGGGCCGTATGTTTGATGAAAAATATCTCATTTAGCCTTGAATAGTGCACAGAACGACAGCATTTTTTTTCGGCTTTTTAGACACAAGGATCTACGAGTCTGAAATTAGAAGAAAAAAAACAACAACAAAAAAACCTAATTGTTTACATATCTTGCATTTAGAGCTCAACAATTTCGTAAGCCGTTTCTTTTGGCTAAATTCACTCTGTCCCTCGCTGGGTTATTTTAGCCCTTGCTTTATTTCTCTCTTCCTCTTTGCCTTGGGACTTTCATACAATAACATATTGCAAAATAATATCTAGAAAAATGGAAGCTTTTGGTCGGGGAAACTATTGCTCTCGCGTCGTGTTGGTCACAGCCAATAGCATTGATGACGACAGGCTAATTATAATGAAGAGCAAAAAAAGATGGCGTACAACGGGCGGACATAAACAAAGCTGTCTTCCTGAGATACAAAAAAAACTAGAAATAAAAGTACACCTAACGGTGAAACGCTGTAGGCCGAGGGCGTCGCCGTCATAAGACGTCAATATCCAATCGTATTTCAGCCGTCACGTGTTGCCAAGGTCAAAGAAATACAAAGAAAAAACACAGTTCTTTCTCCTAATTAATTTTACCTGTCAACCATTCAAGTTTGGTTAAATGAAGTGGGTTTTTTGTTTTTTCTAACTTGATTATTTGTGATAAATAATCAAACCAAGGACGACGCAGCTCAACCATTGACAAAGATATAGTATAGACAACGTCTGTCTCCTTTCCCCCTGCTGCCTGTCTGTTGATTAGTGTCATCACACTCAGCTGGGTCTGTCATTAGTCTCCCTCATGTCACCTGCTGCCCTCTCTCCATCACTCAGTCCCTGTCAGTTCATTTTGGTGTTCAGTCTACAACATAATTCATGCCATTTCTTTCATTTGTTCCTGCCTGGTCTTGAGAATCCAGTAAGTGGATGTTTTTAAGTTTTCTCATTCTGAAAAAAAAAAAATCTTTTGGTTCTGAAAACCATTAATGTTTTCCAGGGATTCTGAATTATATTAGTAATTAGAGAATTAAAAATGTTTTTTTAGATACTTAGTGCATTTTATAACATTTGCTATCATATATATATATATATAATATAATATGCATATATATATATATATACATATATTATATATATAATATGCATATATATATATATATACATATATTATATATATAATATGCATATATATACATATATATATTATTAGGGCATTCAATTGATTTTTTAAAATTTTTTTTACGCATAACCCGTTGAAGAAATTAACAATTAATCGTGATTAATTGCATTATTTGTCATAATTTATCATGGTTATTGTGATTTTTTAAAAAAAGGACATTTTCTTTATATGACTTTTAGTGGTGGCTAAACCATATGATGGCATTATTAACATGGAAATATACTGAGAAGATTCTGATGTAACAAAAATACGTTACGGTTATCTCATTCAGCACAACATAACTTGATTAGGGAATTATTTCCCTTTATTGCCAATGAGTGGACGTTTGTGGCATAATTGGATATAGAGGTCACGTCATTCTGCGCGCGTTAAAGTGTGTTCAAAATGTCATCCCAATATTACTCACAAATTGACTCCATTTACATGTTAATTCCCAGAGCCTGAATAAAAACACTGGGCTGCTAATTAAATCCTCGTTCTCCTCACTCCGTAACTTCCTTAAAAACCTCTAGCTAATGTGAGTAAAGACCGGCAGTCGGGAACGAACTTAAGCAAAGTGCTCCATTTGCATATAAAGTGGACCGTTCGCTTTTCCGCTACGCCGTACGTGAATCAAACAATAATAAGCTACTGGAGGTTTCCGCCGAAATGTCAAAAGAGATGTCATTTCGGAAAAGATGACGAAATGATTGCACAGATGGAACGCAAAAGAGAATGGGCTCCAGGGCTGGTCTGAGATTTCTTTTCTGTAAAGACTATAATCTGAGGCAACTGTTGGTGTAGCTGCCATAGTGTAAGGTGAAGTATTTGAAAGAGTGCGAACAGAAACGAAAGCAGTCGTTTTCTTCGGAAACACAAATGGGAATGTGTCAGCGAAGCCGGAGCTGCAGGTTATGAAGTGGTATCATGTGGCTTCTTCATAAACACTAGAGAAGGCTTAATCTTTTCTAGTGTTTTTTTCCTCTCTCTCTCTCTCTCTCTTTTTTTTACATAAAATGCCAGTTAATGTATTACTGAAGCGTATCCCTGTCTCCTTTTAAAAATGATTCAAACCCAACAAAAAAGTTTTCCAAGTTACAAGTAAGCAACTATTGCAAGATTTTTTTTCTTCTCATGATACGAGGAAACGTCGAGTGCTAAACCGAGCTCCGTCTTTCCACTCGACACCTTTTCTCTTCTCCTACGTTAGAGGACCCGAAACTCTTTCGCCTCTGTCTCGCTCACTGCCCCTCGCTGGGTTATTTTACCCATTTTTATAACGGAACAGTTAAAGGCTAGTACGTCGTTATAATGACTGAATATGAGAGCAACCAAGGTGATGCGTCTTTCTTCAATTCCTGTGATTGTATCACAGTGGTGTTCACATAAACAGGCCCAGGCGTCACACTTTGCAAGTGCGTTGTGAGTAAACCGAAGCGGGAGAATCACAACATTTCATTACGTACACGTCTTTCGGCAACGTTTTGTTTGGAGTTTTGTCCTGGGATTTCAAACGTAAAATATGAGCCAAGGCTCAAAATCTCACACCCTTAATTGGAATCGCTCAGTTTGGTCTTTTGCGTGTTTAGCATACTTAGCTAACATCGGTTACCCTGGAATACAAACACTAATGTACGAGCTCACAGGGTTAACTGTTGGTTCTGTGCTCATCAAAGAGAGGAGCTCAGAATTTACAGAGAGGTTTGAGCTACTGGCTCCATTGTGTGATTCCCTCCCGTGTTTATGTGAATGAGATCCTGACCTTCTCTTTTAAGGAATTAATTTTCTCAACTCTTTGTCAACTCTCCTCATTATCCTCACAAGAGTCTTCGGTGCCCCGAGGACACACTTATCGCTGACCAGATGAGTCTGCTCTTTTGTGTTTCTTTCATTTCTGCCAGTGAATGTTTGAGCGTTCAGGATCTATCACCGGTTGAACAGCCGCGACAGGGCTATTTTTGTTCTTGTTTTTGTTGTCGAGCTTCTTATTCAGTCTGTCGCAGGGCATCGGCTTATGTTTTGGGTAAATCTATTGACAGAAAGCATGGCGGTATACAAGCTAACAACCTTGTTCTGTATCTATATTACCGTAGTTTCCGGACTATTGAGCGCACCTGGATATAAGTCGTACCCACTAAATTTAAGAAGAAAAAAAGAATTATACATATAAAGTGTTTTTTCACTATTAATTAAATAAATGTTTTTTTCCGAACAGTGCCTGTTCATGGCTAGTTACCCGTTAGCTCTTTCCCGCTTCGGCGCCTCGACTGTAGTTGGAAATGCACAGGGGAGATTTAGCGATCTGTTCCAGGGCCGAAGCTAACATTAGCTTTGTGCTTGTCCTCAGCAGAGGTAAACAGAAACAGGGAAGTTTCTGGAAGTCTTTATTATCAGCCACAACAGAACATAAACAGAGTTTTAACAGCTGCTGTGTAACCAACTGACACTTCAACGATGACAGGGATCAAACCGCTCTCAAGTTTCACTACCGTTCTCTCTCGCACATATATATACACAAACCGCCATTCACAGACAGAAGTACGCTACTAGCATAACACACAGGAGCCTACCGGAAAAGTCACTGATTCCTAGCGGTATGAGCTTTTTAACATTGAGAATGTATTTTGTTTTTCTTATTGCACGTCATTGCTTCGTGATAAAACATCAGTTAGCTGGTTTCAATAACGTAATACGTGGTATTTCTTCATTATTTTTTTCATTATTTAAATGATTTTTTTTTGCCTTATACGAAAGCCTCTCGCGCTCGGTCTCAGCGACAAGCTCATTTTTCGTTTTGTGTTTCTGGAGCCCGCTGTAGCCAAAAGAAACCACGTCGACCGGTTCACAGAGATACGAATCATGCACGAGTTAATATATGTGCGCGCGGCTATGACAGCTCTGAGGCGTGCTGCTCCAGAGGTTCCTCAAGGACTTCCGCTGGTTGTTGTTATTGACAGGTAGTTTAATAATGCGAGATCCTGCTCACAGACCATCCTTTGTGTTCTGTCTCAGAGATGGGATTACGGCGTGACCTCTCATGTGGAGCTGTCGGAACGGTGAGGATTGGAGAACGCGCTGTAGGTCTGTCACAAAGGACCATATGGAGCTTACGCTCCACCCTGCTGCATCTTCGCCAGGCAAGAGCATTACAGTAATCCCATGAAGTGATGAAGAAAGATGCCTAAGGCTCCTTAGTGGAGATGTAGAGATGTTGATTTTTTTTTTTTTTTTTGGATGGATGGATGAATAGATGGATGGATGGATAGATGGATAGATAGATGGATGGATGGATGGATGTTGTGCAGTCTGATGACATGTGGCAGAAGAGATTCCCTGCATCTAAACTCTAAGGAGGCAGAACTTTAACGGAAGCCAAATTGCATTTTAAAAATCTCCTGGCGTACAGCGATGCAGATTTAGCAGCCGTTCGGCGCTCACGGCAGTCGACCTGACGGAATAAACACGGCGTTACATCTGTCTGCCCTTCTGTCTCTCTCCCTCCCCCCCCCCCCTCGTCCGAGTCATTGCACACAACCGTCCCCTGTGCTCGTCTCCCTCGTCCCGCCTCGTCCTGGTGAGACGAAGGACGAGTTCTGTCTGTTCAGTTCTGCGTGTTCCGTTATCTTGTCGGCCTGTTCTTCGGTTTGTCTCTGCTCGTTTCTGTTATCTGTGCGTAACCTGCCTCTCTGTTTTCAGTTGTCTGTCCTGGAAAGTAACAAGTTACGTTTACTCAAGTAACTGCAATTGAGTCGTTTTCGTGAGTAATTTGTTAGTTTTTTAAGTCGTTTCAGGAATAGGTCATTTTACCTTTTACTTAAGTACTTTTCTAGAAAAAAAACAATCTGCAAGAAAATTCCTGTCGATGGCTGGTGGCGAACAATAAATGGAGGTTAAAGGTCAATGTCAAGGAGTGTTCTCCAGAATCCTCAACTTCTGCCACAGGTATTTGAATTGTTGATTTGAAAACAACCAGTGGCAGATTGGATGTAGGACTCGTCCTGAGTAACTTTTACATGAGTAGATTTTTCGATGGGTACTTTTACTTGAGTACATTTTTTGATGGGTATTTCTACTTGAGCAGATTTTTTAATGGGTACTTTTACTTGAGTGCGATTTTTTTGTTTTTAACTTTTACACGAGTAGACTTTTCGATGGGTACTTTTACTTGAGTAAATCTGTAGATGGCATTTTTACTTGAGTAGACTTTGGGATGGGTACTTTTACTTGAGTAGATTTTAAAATGGGTACTTTTACTTGAGTGGATTTTTCCATGTGTACTTTTACTTGAGTAGAATGTAAACAAGATACTTTTACCTCATTTTAGAAGTACTCGTTTAGAGGCGTGTAACGTTGTTACAGGGTGGGAACCTGGTGAGGTGAATTGGCAGAAAAACAGAATTTCCTTTTGCCTCAATACTTAGAAGGTTCCTCTGACGGTAATTGCGATTCAACGACATCTAACATCGGCTCAAATGCCTCTGACTGAGCCGAGGTGTGAGCACCGGCTCCGTCATCGCTGAGGTGGACTTAACGAGCTCCGTGCACTTCCTGTGTGGATATTAGGGCTTCTTCTGAGTCTCGCCGACTCACCAGGGTAATATAGGGTGTCACAGATGTCATTTTGATGTGTGTGTGTGTGTGTGTGTGTGTGTGTGTGTGGAGTGCCTCAGGCAGTGCTGCTTTACATCCCCGCGGTCTGAGGTGCTTGGTTAAGCAGGAAGTGACTGTGCGACTCTGTTTCAGATCAGGTCCTAGATTGAAAAAGAAATTATACAGAAGGCTAGTAATGAGGGGGGAAAAGAAAAAAACGTTGAATGGATTTACATAGTTGGAATTAGCTAGGCTCTGAAATGAGTCATATTCACGGGATTAATTAAAGCGGCGGTGTCAAACATACGGCCCGCGGGACAAAGTTGGCCCGTCGACTAAAGATACACTTCATGATCAGGAGATGGTTTGTAAAATGATATTTTATTTTAATTAATAAAACAACATTAGAAGTACAGCCTGAAGTGGAAGCTTCAGTCCTCACGTCAAGCACCACTTTTTTTTTTCCGTTTTTCCACCATACTGAAACTGATTGTCTGCTTCGCTCTGATTCATATAAGCGCAGGTGTAACGCCCACTCGATTAGGATAAATTGAACATGGTGCGGCCGAGGTCAGACGTTTTCCTGCGCCCGCCGCACAGACTCAATTTATTTTTTGTTTTGTTTTTGTTTTTTTTACCGTCGGTTTTACCGTTTCCTACAGTCGCACAAACATGTTTCGTAGCAATTTTTGGATTTTATTTTTCTGCTGACTCTGACTTTGACTCTCTCTCCTAGTGACCGCCTGAGACACCGCGCTGCACAGTCAACAACAATAACATATGCCGAAACTGAATGCCCCCGCAGTTAACATTCATTAAATTCTCCCTTGTCACATGTTTCTTATTCTATTTCATTATACATATATATATACATATATATATATATACATATATATATACATATATATATATGTATATATATATATGTATATATACTGTATTTCTGGATCCTACACACATACACACACTATTTCATTATACATATATATTTATATATATATTTCTTGCTCCCACACACAATCACAGACTATTTCATTATGCATATATATTTATATATGTTTCCTGATCCCACACACACACTATTTCATTATACCTACAGTATATATTTATATATATTTCTTGCTCCCACACACAAACACACACACACACTATTTCATTATACATATATATTTATATATTTATATATATTTCTTACTCCTACCAATAAAATAGGGCTCCTCCCCCTAAAGTCACTGTGTACTCCAAACCGTGATAACAATCATGTGACAAATTAAAAACTCCTGAATCTAAAAAGCATCACATTGACTTGGTTGAGTACCATGACATGGTATTTTCCTCACTTGCTGCAGCAGTGGAGAGCCACTACTGCGTGGAGGTAGAAGATAATGCTATTTTTTTTTTTTCATTTGGATTTGTTTTGGTTTGTTTTTCTTCTTGGGGAATGGAGGGACAGGGGAGCTGTAACGTAGCTAAAAATAGAAAATCCAGCTGGTAAATATTGAGCTTGTTTTGCATGTCAGGTTTAGGGTCGATACGAAGCATCAGGAGTGGATTAATCTGACGATAATGATGTGGCAGGTGTGTGCGGTCAGTGAGTGATGTCGTCGTTGCGTAAAGTTATTAGAGCGTGGGGAGTGAGAGACACCGTGACGCAGCTAGAGGTTGGTTTGTTTTTTTAGGCGACACAGAATCAGACGGCTGAAGCTGCAGAGCACATCATGAAGTGATTTTATCTATTTATTTATTTTTTTTGTGCATGTCCTTCTGCTCATATTTAATCAACATGATCCTCGACAGATTATTGGACTGCTGCGACTTCCTTTCTTTAGTTTTTTTTTTTAAATTTTTTTTTTAGCCTCAACAAAATTTGACTGCATTTCTGATTGTCCCACTGCGGTCCGGTCTCAAACGACCTACGGGCCGGCAACGGTCCCCGCACCGAGGTTTGGGGACCCCTGCTATACAGTGACCCCTAACGTATTTTTAGTATCTGTGGGTTTTCATGAGTAAAAATGTAAAATGGGTCCTACCTGGAAACGACGAGAGGCAGAATCAACATTTTCAACATCCTCATCAACAGCTCTCCGGGAAACTGAAAATACTTCACCTCCTGCCAGTGGAACAGAAAAGAACAGGAAACTGACATTAATGGATAAACATTTGTACCATCCGAAGGGACATTGTGCAAATGTGTACTAATGCATGGTAATGTAACAGAAGCGGGGGTGGGAGATTGGAGGGGGGCGGAGGGGATGGCTGGGCTTCAACTCACTCGCCGACTTCATCTCGCTCGTCAGAAATTGAATCTCTCACAGTGACAAACAAGATCTTTTTTTTTTTTTTTCTAGCCTAGAGGATTCTTGTTCCATTTGTAATTTTTTTTTCTGTATGAAAAGGAGTTCCGAGACAATCATCCAAGATAAATGCACTGGACTGCTCAGCCCGTACCACCTGTTACTACAGATCGGTACCAAGGTGCTGAGCATTGAAGGGTCATTACATTTTCAAAATAAAACGTCTTTGACCTGTGGACTGGTACTGGTCCGCGGACCAGGGGTTAGGCACCCCCGATCTATACAATCTTACAGTTAGAACTGGCCCTTTAAGGGGAACTGTATTGGTGATGTGGCCCGTGGTGAAAATAAGTTTGACCTTTGTCCTAGATTATGCTGTTTCCACTGTGTTAGCGTAGCCGCGACATATAGCAGGTACTTACGTACAGCATGTGCATTCAAAGTTGCGAAAATCGAGTTACGTCGCACCGTACGAAAGTTGACATATGTTGAGGACTCCCTGTAGGAGGACCATTTTTGGCACTGGTACTGATGTTTTCAAACCATTGAGCCGAAAACATAGTCCTGGTCGGAATAAAAACCGAACCTATATTAACGAGTCCGACTCTCTCTGGTGGAATCAGTAACCTCCGGTGACCTCTAGGGGTCACCAACATAGACACCTGGTAACAGGTGGGTCAAAAATTGTACTTGTTACCGTGCTTTTTGAATCAGTTCCACTTGCAGTCATATTCAAATTAGCGCAGTGACGACGGTAAGAAGAGTGTCTGCTACTGTGTGTCGTTCTTTATTTTCTTTATTATTTATTTTTTTCTGACTACGTCCAGCACATCTCCTCATCTGTATGCTTGTCACCTGTTCCTTCGATCTGCCATAATAGGATCTGCATTTTCATGCACGCGGTGTAAACACTGCCTAATTAAATGTGAAATATTCTCCTTCCTCTGCAAGTCTTACGAAGTGCGGTTGAAAAACGCCCCGTCTCGTTGTCTCAGCTGGCCGTATTTCCCCATTTGCAGCAACGTTAATTACATATATATTCATGAAACTATTTACTGCATGACTTCCAAAGTATTTTCCATGTTGTTGTTGTTGTTGTTTTTGTTTTTTTTGCGATTTACTATTTAAAATTAGCAACAACAAAAAAAGCATTTTGGCTTGAGATGTATCCTGTGCCGTTTAATGTCTGTCCATTTGCAGTCGGTATCATTTCATGTGAAAGCCATGTCCTCGTTTCTCCGCAGATAGCCTTCGTGCCGCTCTTGAGCGAGAGTACATGTCGAGTTGATGATTCTGTAGCTAAAAAGTCTCAACACCAGGGGAAAAAAAAAAAAAACTCTCAAAATGTCAATTCTGGGGCATGTTTTTATCACCTACCCTCAAAGTACCTGTGAGTAATAACAAGGCATAGTGGTCTTCATTAGTTATAAAAGTCTTCTCCCCGTTCAACAGAAAATGACAAAAATGAAAATGACTTTGGCTATTTCAGCCAGAGAGAAAACAAAAGCTAAAAGCACTAAAAACTACGATAATTGGTCTACTTAGACGAAAAAACAAAAAAACGACCAAACAGGAAATTTCAACAAAGAAACAGTAGCGCATACTATTTCTGTAGATCGCAGCATTATTTCTGAGCCCCAACGTTTACTTATCCAGCTTCAACAATTCAGCTATTGGCAAAAAGTCCTTTTTTTCTCAGGCGTTCCAGCCGTCATGGCCAACTACAGCTTGATATCGGACACATTTGAGTGTGTAAGGTTAGAAGCCTCGGGCACAGGCGAGCGTGTACTAGAGAGGTCTGAAGAGTTCATCTCAGTGACGAATGAGTGATGAAAGACTGGCACAAAAAAGAGACCGGCTTGTGAAAATAAATCCGAACCATGGTGATGAAAAAAGGGAACAGGGAGAATGGACAATTTGGAGCACATCTGTGTACAACAATAACGATGGCGCAATGTGAGCTTTGTTTTTTTTTTTTTGTTTTTTTTTGCATTAGGACTAAAGCAGCTTTTAGGTGAAAACGGCTATGCTAGGGCTAAGGCTATGTCAAGGTCGTCCTGGTTTCTGTGCTGTGCTCCATTCAGAAGAGTGTGTTTATGTTTACATGGATGAGAAAACTGCTGAGCTGAATGGAACGCCGATCCCGGTCTTATCCTACAATCAGTTTTTCTCTGAGCCCGCATATGTCTGAGTTGAACATTTTTTCCAAACGCAGTGGTTGAAACACTGCCATAATGTTGCTCTATCTATCTATCTTTTTTTTTTTTTT